CTTTGGACTGGGTACATATTCTATTAAACAAACAAACAAACAATGGCACTAAACACCATTATCGTTCCCATCCCTTTGGACTGGGTACATATTCTCAGGAAGGGGACCACTGGAGGAATGTGACTGCATACCATTCAGGGGGGACACGAACAGGGCACATAGTGGATACTCACCCGGATGGGGAGGTCCTGGTCAACTGTTTTCAGAAACACAGCGACAATACACTCACCAGGACAACCACATAAGAGGTCCGCTCGGTTGGTAGAACACAGGTATACAGAATTCGTGTAATACAAGCAAGGAAACTGGATTACACATCAACCGAACAGACCAATTGCAAGATTGACCTTCAACCCAGCCAGCTGGATATGAACGTCCTGTCAAAAGCAAGGCAAGACCAATAGCGAGCAGATATGTTCCCTTGAAGTCAAAACTGCCTACAGATTGATCCGTCCAAAAGTGGATCTAAAAGAAAAAGTGACGAGCAGGTGGATGAAACAACTAAATGTGCAAAGGGATTCATTACGGTGTATTCCCTCCCTGCAGTGGCAAATCTACCGTCGTTGTTTGCCCACAAACAACTGGTTGATTGACCGGACACATGTAGAACAGAAGGGGCTCACCCTCCCATGGTGCAAAGTTGCAAGCTCCGCAGAAACAGCTACCCATCACACAAGATTCCAGAAACCATGAAATGCATCTTCCTGCAATGCCCAGGCTCTGTGTGGACATGGAGGTGGTGGAACTGAATCTGGCGACAATGTGAGAGACGCTCCATGGCCATGGGAGTGGAGGGCAGTACTGTCTGGGACTTGGCAACCACAGCAAGCCAGCACCTTCACCATCAATATGTCCGAAACTCGAGGGTCCAGAATTTACGGAAAAAATGCAAGGAAAATGAGCAATAGCGAGATGACAATGTCCAGCATCCACAATCACATTGAAGGCCAGATAGTATCACAGTGTCCAGAAAGCAGAAATGCACCAATATAACACCAAAGAAGATTCGTAACACTGAAAACCAATGTCAATGAGAGCTTGCTCTCGCCACCACCAACATGAGTGTCCAGGCCCTATCTTCCTACTTCGTGCTCGGCGCCCAGCCCACTATCTACACAGCTATTCTCTGCCTACGAATTGACAACGCAACTGTTGACGTCAGAAGCCTCCGAAGTACTTGAAGATGTCGCCCATGCAGACTATCGCCAATACCAGGTATGTGCCCTCACATCATCACCATCATCATCCTTTTCTCTCTCTCCCTCGTCTTAGTCCCACGTCTTCCATTTGTACATCCGAAGACCACCCCTGTGCCTCACTGCGCAACCAAGCCCAACCAGCTATGGAGGCTGGGCTATGGCGCTGCCCTTAGCAGCGCCCTGCTCTCTGCACAACCGCACGCGCTTGCACCTCGCCTCTCAGCGCCAACAGCAGCCCACGAGCGTCCGCTCCAGCAGCGCTGCCGCTAGCATGCGAGTGTCTGAATGAGGCTGATCATGGCGAGCTCTTTCCTATATGGAAAGAGCCTCATGCGATTCGCAGCCTGGCTGGACTGGCCTGGGCCCAGAAGCTTCCGTTAGGCCCCAGGATGCTGCGCCTCAGCTGTGGCTACTGGGCCTCATTCGGTTGGGCCTCCCAACTGTCTGTGTATGAGGCTGTGAATCTCGCCCAGGGCCTGTGCTTTCAGAAAGGCCTAGAAGGCCTGGGAATTTTCCACGCTGCTCGGCCTGTGTTTCCTTCAACCAACTGGTGCGACGAAACTGCGTGGACCCCAAATACGAAATTGACAGCCGAGGGCCTCTCGTGATTTGTTAGGCCCGCCTTCACTTAGGGCGGGCACAGATGCAACAGGGGCCCCTTAGGCCTGCCGAGGATCCGAATCCTTGCATTCCCTCCTCCTATACTTCGACAGTCCTCTGAGAA